TCTTGTTTCAGTATCACAACAATATTGGTCCATATTGGAGGTAGCAGCATTATCCAGCATACATACAAATGGCAAGTGAGAATAAACGCAAGGGTTTCCATTACCACTACAATTAGGGTACAAGGCTGGGCAAGTGGTTAAAGATACTATTTATGAGGGAGCTCAGCCTCCCCTGATGAATCACATTCTGGCTATTGACAAGGTCAGGCCACCATCTGAATAAAACAAAACCTATGAATAGAACTCTCTTTTTTTTTTATTACCCTAGGTCATCTGGAAACAAACTGAGTTTAGAGGATTTAATCTTAACTTGCCACTTGACACATTTTCTATTTACATTCAAAGAAGTAAATCTATGTTTTCATAGTGCCTAAAAGCAGCATGGTGCATCAGCTTCTGTGAGACACTGTACTGATGCATTATGTTTGCAATCCTACCAGTTACTTGAAATAAATGCGCATCAGTAATACCAAGTTCTACCAGAATCTGTCAGTATAGGATCAAAGAGAGGCATCATTATGAGTGACCTGCATTGTGCAAAAAAAGCTCCCAAAATGATGGGTTCTTCAACACAAAGAGAAACAAGCCATGTGAACAAGGCTTGCGTTATACAGAACAAGTCAGAGGCAGTTCTCCTGAAATGAAAGTATTACTTACCCGCAGAATTGACTGTACTGTCTGCAGAGGATAAGTGAGGGTGGTGGCAATCGCTTTGGCTATTGCGCCGATGACAAAAGCATCCAAAGACGTGAGCTGTTCGATAGATAAAGAACATATTACTCCCACAGAGCACCAAAGCAGCCGGTTACCCATATGTGATTGGGGATTCTCTACTGGTACCTGCTACCAGGTTGTCCAAGTATCTTTGGCATAAAGATTTCTTGAAGTCTCCGAGTATTCTCATTTTAAAAAGTTAAAGTTCAGCCAACTTACTTTACCACAACTAAAGTTTATTTGTAACTTCTACCTGCTCACAAGCTTTTGTATTTCTCACTATAACTAGGTTACTAAAACGTAATGGAGATAAAGCCATACCACTAGAGCAATTTAGAGCACCGAGAGTAGACCAAAGATAGGGAAGTAGGATTTAAAACATACCAATCAATCAATAAGCATTTCAGCTTTTGCAACATTTAAACTAACAAGTCACACGGCACTTGTGAAAAGGTGACAGTGAAAGACTCCTTGAACATCACCCTATAATCCTGAGACATAATCACTACGCTATCAGGCAGAATTTTAGTCTTGATGGCATAGGCTAAAAATCTCATCCCCTATTAGTTAAGAACACCTGCTGAAAGCCCATCCTCACCTCCAAAGCCCACAATGTTCCATGATGCACCAAACGCAGTGTTATAGCCTATGCTGATTACAGTGCATCTCAGTCTAACAGGGTGAATTAATCACTGAAAATTAGTAGGTCCCCATATCAAAACACACTCCAAATTTGCAAAATACATTGATTGCAATCAGAAATATGCACACACATGCACATCTTAAAAAAGTCAATCTGATACGCTTAAGACAATCAGGAAAAGATCAAATAGGAAAAAAAAACGTTGTCCAAAATAAAAATGACCATTGCTAAGGGAAAAAAGTATTTTCCCTCTCCACTGATCAAGGACAAAACGTGCCCTAATTTAAGGTAGAACTAAGTGATTTAAAAGAAACACAAGTAGTAAATATAGCAATTAGCCAATAGGCAAATAATGCAGGGGGAAACTCAGCTCGTCATTCAAAAAATGTATTGTCTGTAATGTAACTGGATAGATCCATCAGGCACAAATAGAGTGCTACAGCTGCAGTATTGCCTAAAGATGGGAAAAAACCCAAGCCTCATTTATGATGCAAAATTTCATTGAAAAATAATTTCACTATGTCTTAAGGAGAAACAAGATGACTTTGTAACATACTGATACAATCCAATACAGCCAAATGCATTCTAAAGTCACAAATTAACAGCAAAACACTACAGCTTAAAACATCTAATATGTTAAGACATTATCCTAAAATGTAACACAAGTACTTTTCAATTTGCTACAACATAAAAGGAATGCGAGTTCAGGTGAGATGCTATATTTGATTAGAGAAAAAAGAAAACGAATAAAAATAAAGAAAGGGACTATTAAGCAGGGACAGAAAAGTGATTCTATCTCTATTTAGAGAATCAGGGAGGTATGGTTGCAATGCTATCTTCAATTCTAGTGTCCATCCTTGGAAAAAGGACATTGAAAAATTGAGGGCTTCAGGAAAAAAGTGTTATTAATGTGACAGGGTCCAGAACAAATCTGTGATATTTCAAAGGCTCAATGTACTTGATTTACTGGAGAAAGGGTTAAGAGGTGACTTCAAAACAGTCTGTACATACTTATAAAACAGATATATTGGAATTGAAATCTCTACTTTAAATCAAGACCTGTGAACAAATCTAAACAAATGTGGACAAGAGGTGCAGTTTTATTTTTACAGGACAAGGAATTCATCACAGGAATATCTTCCCTGAGGGAAATGAAATACTCACGTCTCACTTCATGATGATGGATTTTTTTTTTACTTTTTAAGATCTACTAACTCATAAAACCCCCTGAAAATACAAGGGCCAAAACCAAACCTACATTTCTGAATTTGCTCAAGTAACGTATGTCAAAGAACCTGTCTTATAACAGAGCATGTCCATCACCTCGCCTCAAAACATACTCACTTGCAGCTGCTTTTTCAAAAGCTTCCGTTTAAAGCCTTCATAAAACATGAACTGTATGGCAGGATTGAAGACCAGCAGCAAGGAGGGGAAAGTACCATTCCATAAAGCTAAGACTCCTTCATCTCGTATTATCTGATGAAAGGCATCTGAGAAGAAAGGTAGAAAAAAAAAAAATTAAAATTTTGAGTACAAACTTCTGACTGCAGAATGTAAGTTACACTTAAAGCCTAATATTCAAAGTGTATAAAGATCCACTGCAGTCTTATGTGACTTTTTAAATCTTCTATTCTAATCTGGAAGTTAATGGAAAAATAGTGACAAAGGAGGTTCTGGCTTACGTCACCATTAACGTGATGTTATCTGCACAGAGACCCTGCTCTTTTTAGTACAAGCTCAGCACCAATGTTAAGGTCCTCTAAACTTCCTTCAAAATTACAGTAATATTTATTTACTCATTTTTAAAAGGAAGCCAGCCTGAACATGTGGGTGATTAAGGTGAGTGAAGTTTAATTTGCAGATTATCTATTCAAACTCAAGACTCCCAGCTACAACCTCACTGGGCTCACTACTACTCCAGTATTTGTAGGTAAGATACCTGCCTTTGCAAAAGGTGTTTTAGTTACAGGTGTGCCTACTACAAACTCTTAATTACCATCAGAAATGGTCAAGTCCAGTTTCCTGTAAAACTCAATGACTGCAAAGCGATAGGGAAGCATAGAGATTCCAGGGTGAAGTCAGTTACATGAATAAAAGTCTTCAAACTTCAGAGTTCTTAATATATTTAATGAACTTCTCTTTGGTTGAAGACACCACCAGGTACTTACCTATTATGCCTTTATAATTGGTTGGGACAATGTCTTCATTTCTAAATTTTGCTCCCTGCAGCTTCAGACGTGTGTTCACTACCCAAAGAGGAGTGGTCAAGAGTACATTCACTACACCTAATGCAAAACACAGCACAAAGAAAATCAGCAAGAACCAGAAGACGACTTCAAATGTTTTCTTATGTGCTTTTACCTTAATTCACACCCTACTGAAATTACTGGTAGGAAGAAAGGAAAAAAAAATTAACACAGCATATGGCAAAAGTAAATTGGTAACTTGTAATGAGCTACTTCACGTATCCCTCGACAGCCCCACCGCGAATTAGTTGTCAGCAGACTGCACGCAGTGGGAAGATATTTCTACTACTCATTCTCAAAAGTGGAAAAAAACCCAAACCAAACCAAACAAAATCCAAACAAAAAAAACCCACCCCACATACCACACCACACTGGAGCACAAGATACTCTACTTTCTCACACCCTACTTCACTCCATGACGACTTGCTGCCTGCCTACAGTCCTGGTTTCAGCTGGGATAGAGTTAATTTGCTTCCTAGTAGCTGGTATAGTGTTATGTTTTGGATTTAGTATGAGAATAAGATTGATAACACACTGATGTTTTTAGTTGTTGCTAAATAGTGTTTATGCTAAGTCAAGGATTTTTCAGCTTCTCATGCACAGCCAGCAAAAAGGCTGGAGGGGCAAAAGAAGTTGGGAGGGGACACAGCCAGGACAGCTGACCCAAACTGGCCAAAGGAATATTCCATACCATATGATGTCGTGCCCAGTATATAACCTGGGGGGAGTTGGCCGGGAGGGGTGGATCGCTGCTCAGAAACTAACTGGGCATTGGTTGGCGAGTGGCAAGCAATTGCATTGTGCATCACTTGTTTT